GGAAGAGCCGGACGAGGAGCGCAGCCAGGAATACTGGGATTTTGACACTGGAAGAGACAAGAGGGACTGGAGGCCAGGCAGGTACCACCAGAGGAAACACAAACGTGATGAAGAGCTCTCAGAGGACAGGCGAGACGAGGCGGATGGAGAACGCAGCCAGGAATACTGGGGGTTTGACAAAAGACACGGAAAAGAAGAGGGAGAGGTGGAAAAGCGCATATGGAAGCCAACACACTGGTACCACCACAAAAAGAAACTTCACAAGCGTGGTGGAGACTCATCAGAGGAGGAGGAGGAACAGAGGGGTGCTTCAGATGAATCAGAGGAGGCTGACAAGGACAGGGACGAAGCCCTGAGGTACTCCTCTCTTGACTCTTAAATTGTGCATGTCTCTATTTTGCATCCCAGTGCACAATCTGTTGCAGTGTTCGGTAATAGCAGCCAAATCAAAACATTTCATAGTGAAAATTGACAAAAATCCATGCATGTGCTGGGATGATAAACTGGGAATCTAACTGCAGACGTTTTTCAGGTATCTGGCAGAAAAGCGCAATCCCTGGATTTACAGAGGCTTCTACCATCCCGCCTGGTTTAAAAGGGATTCAGATGAACATGCAGCAACTAAGGTGAGCTTGATGAGACAACTTCCATTTTTTTGCCTGCTTGTATGAAACTGAAACAATTGAATTGCTTGTTTCTTTGCATGGTTATACGCACCACAAAATGTTGCATTGAATGTGTTCAGATGGACGACCTGGCCAAGTTGCTGAGCTATAAGATAAACCAGCTGTCCAGCCATTCTAATCAGGAGGTGGCAAAGAGAAGCACGCACCAGAGAGCCCTCACTCCACAGGAGGTAAACACTGCACTCACTAACTGCGGAAAAGACCTTTATGGCAGATGTGGGGATGCAATCGCTGTCATGTTCACTTTTCTAAAGCTCTAACTAGGCCACTGTACTGAAGTCTAGGAAGAATACTTTGTTATAGCTACAGTAGACTGCGATTTACACAGAATCTAATGTCTGATCTAACTGAGCTGATGGAAGCACTGTGCAGCAGCAAGGGTTCAGGCAAAAAATGATAATTTTAGTAATGAAAAGCTTAAAGGTCATAATGTGACAACAGCTACACCTGCATGTTGCATAATATCTGTGATCAATAATGATAATAATAATAACAAGTTACAAAGTGCTTCACAAAGAGGACAATGGAAATACAATATAAAAAAACTACAGTGAAGCAAATGAATACTATGTTATTAAAGACAGCAGATACAATACTACATACTTTAAAAGAAATGATGAAAGAGAAGGATAAAAGAAACACAAAATATACAGACGATATTCCGTCTACAACAGTTTCCACCATATATCCAGATGACGTAGTGCAGCCATTAAGCTCATCCCTGCACCATTCAGTTTCACTGGGGGAGAAAGCAGCCATGGGCTCATTATGGAAATCTCCTGTCGACACGGAGATGTCAGGATTTAGCCCTCACAACCACAGAGCATCAATGAATATGCATCTGTGCAAATGTGCATCCAGAACTGTCCCTCATGAGCATGTTCCAAATACACCAGAGGAAAATCACAGGCAGTGACTCCTTCCAACTCTGTCAAGCTCAGAATCTACTCTTGCATTACTCACATGTGCTCTACTCTCGCTGGGCTTGTTCTCTCAGCTTGTTGGTCCCCCTTTCACTATCTGCGCTCACCAGCATTTACGACTGCTGCAATAATCACACTTGGAATCTCGTGATTAAAGCCTCCCAGGGCAATCAAATCGTAATGTGCCCATTAAAAGGAGAGCAAAGGCCCGTGGAGAACTCCCCATCTTGACACATAGGTGGTTATTGATGATTTCAAGAGCACTACAGCTCAAGGGATAATGGTTTTTTCAACTGAAATGACAAAGTCTGCTTATTAGGCAAATCTGAAGTAGGCCTAGAGAAAATCTGTCAATTCTTGATCATTCACTCCAGATTTATGTCCCATACATGATCAAAAACACACAGTTTTGACCACAAACTGGATTGTATTTAATTCATGTATAAATCCTGCGTGTTTTTTCAGGATAAAAAGCTGGAAAACCTAGCAGCCATGGACGTGGAGTTGCAGAAAATCGCCTCCAAGTTGCATGAAAAGAGTGCATAAGCCACAGCCGCCGTCTTACCGCATGTCTGCCAATTCAGTGTGCTTACTGTGTACCAACATAAAAAACCCTGGAGCCTTGCCAAAAAAGATCAACTTGTTTATCATTGTATTTGTGATATTTTGATGTTCTCAAATTAATCCGCATGGGAATGGTTTTGATGTTTATACATGTAAAGAGAAAATGTGAGAATAACATATTATATCTGGAACCGATTATTGAAATAATTGTGTTCTGAAGCGTTTGCTCAGTCTGTGCTCAATAAAAGGAGTTATTCTGGGACCAAACAAAGATCTCTCTAATTATTTTTTGATAGGAAAAAAAAAACAAAGCTTTCAGACATCTTTTAGTACTTTTTTATTCAGTGCAGATACAGATGTAGCTTTGTGAAGCTTCATAAGCGATGGGATCATAAAACAAATGGCACTTTCTGCAGGGATAACAAAATAATAAAAAAAGAAAGTTATAACCGAGAGGCTGGAGAGACTTATTGTTTTTACACCAGGTCTTGAGGCGTGAAACACAAACCTGTTTGTCTCAGCACGCAAATTATTATTTCTGCAGTTTCTTCCATAAAACATACACTGAGCTCCGAGAGCCTAAACTGGCTTACAACTGACCCCTTAGTATTACGCCTTAATCTGCACTGATCTGAATACACAAGAAGGGAGAAGAGGTTTGATGTGTGCAAACCAGACACTCTGTCTGCATTATCACAGATGTGTCAAATCAGTTCAGCAGTAAGGAAGGTCAGCACTGGAGGAAAAATCCCTGTAGGCCGTTAGAAATGTGCCCTTAGAAGATCTGATGCGTCTGTGTTTGTTTATCCCTCAGTGTCTGTCACTTTCAGTCTCTTTGGTGCTGGTTCATCAGCTCGCTGGGAGGCTGCGGGTTTGGCGCGGTCCATGGCGACCGTCGTCCCTGAGAGGAGGTAGCCCCCGCCTCCGCTCATCAGCAGCAGAGGATGGGTCCTGTTAGGCAACACCTAGAGGCACGGCACAGAAAGTCAGGATGCATTAATTCTACAGGAAGAGCTGCAGGAAATAACACATTGGTCCTGTGGGGGAACACACTCTGGGCATGCAAACACTAAAGTACAAAAAAGGGAAGTAGGAGTAAATGCTGTGGAGGGTCTGTGATAATGGATTCGAGGCAGTGACAAGTATTTTATCACAAAGAATTGATTCCGCCAAATGTAGATTATCTGCCCTGATATCACTGACTGAGAGGTGGCCTGAGGTGTAACTCCAGTAAATCCACACTTGAAGGACTGCAACAATGATTTTCTTCTTGTATAAAGACAAGATAAACTTCAAGCAACACTTCTTTCATCATAAAAGCTTTTAACACCAGAGTTTGACAGAATTAATCACCATTTGTGGCTGCGGAGGGCGCTGTTACATAAGTCGTTTTCACGGATGAACCCTAGAGAATGTCTGCACAAATAAGTCACGTCTTTATCCGGAGTTTGCCCTTAACACATGAACAACAACACAGAAATCTCCGGCGCCTTCTGGTGAGGGCTGGTGCAGCAGACGGAGGAAGGAAGTAACGTATAAATTCTGCTGGGGAGATCACGTGTTTTAAAGCTCATCGACACCGGTGCTGGCGCTTATCACCGAAAGCTTCTTCTTCATCTGAGTCTCTTAAATGCAGGGCTGTGCTTTATCATCTTGAGATGTTTGTTTTCTTTTATTTCTTCATTTTGCGTCTGTCGTGCAGATGCGATTCAAACTCCCTCCAGGCGTTAATGAGATCATGCGTTAAGGAGGATGGGATCTAAGCTTGGACAGATGAAACATTAGGCCTCCGGCCATGGCTAGTTGCTGGTGTGGAGGCGTAAAAACAAATTTACCTGATAATGTCTGAGCCAGGTGTCTGTGAGTCTGAGGCTGACCGTACCACCCTGTTCCCTGAGCTTTGTGTAGCACTCGATAAGAGGCTGCGGAGATAAAGGGGGGGAGAGAGATAGAAAAAGAGGCATTAAGGACGAGGACCGCACCGGCAATGACTCGAGAGACACACACACACACACACACACACACACACACACACACACACACACACAAAGTTATCTTTTTAGCTACATAAGCACAATAGAGGTAATAAGTGCAGGGACTTGATAGGCATTGTAACTCCTTGGCAGTGACAGCGATGTCTGCCGCAGTAATGAAATAAGGACATTTCCCACTGGAACTTTTAGCAATAAAACCTGTGTGCAGAAGCAGATAATGAGAGATCCTTCAGCTGAATTAAACTAAACTCTGTGAAGGACATCGATAGTGTTTGTTCCAGCAGATGCAAGTAGTCATGACGATCGTACCTCTTTGTACTGGGAGTAGACGACAAAAGGCCTGGAGGGGGAGAGGAATTTGAGCAGGCTCATGAGGAGAGGACACGGGTGAAACCGGCTGGCGATAATCAACCTGTAATTCAAAAGAAATAGATGATCACGCAAACATGTCTGACGTGGAATATATGTTATTGGAAATGTGGAGGTAGGTAATATCTCTCCATGTGACTTCTCACCGCCAAAACTTCAGGATTTAGTGCCCTTCTAATACAGACATTCATTTCACTTTCTATAAAGAAATGACCGTCAGTAAAAAGACGCTGATTTAGGAACATGTGGAAAATCTATTGTAGTGTGTATATCATGGCTGGTATGATGTGGAGGAGGGGTAAGTTAATAGCCTAACCAGATCAATACTTAGGAGTCGCCCTCACAACACTTCATCCATCAATTACACAGAGGCTGTGAAGCAAATCCTTCACTGAGCATGACTGGAAACTGCAAGGCAATCACTCTGTTCACCTTGTAAGGGCACCAGTGTTAATGTGTGCATGAGCTCGGAGGAAAGCAAATTATTTATCATGACTTTTATTGAGATGATACACATTACTTTAATCATCATTCATCAAATCTTCATCTCTGCAGATCCGTTTTAATTACTGTTGTTGACTACATGATGCTGTCCAGACAGTTGGAGGAGAAAGATGCTGATGCTGAAAAGAGCAGAACAGCGGAGGGGAAAAGAACAAAATAATAAAAAATGTGACACCAACCCGTCTGCATTTCTGCCTTCCAGCAGGGAGGCAGCGGCCGCCAGCTTCTTTCTCTTCTCCTCCAGCTTCACCCTTTTTTCCTGATCCTGAAAAAAAAAATATATATTTATTACATCCAATTTTGAAATTTCTCTTTTTTCTCTCCTGAGAGATCTGATCACAAGTGCACAGTGTGTTCATGTGTTCACACCTGGTATTCAAATTCATAGTGAATGTATTTCCTGTGACCACTGATCTCATTTCCACGCTCTATATGCAAATAGTCACATTATCACTTCCTCCTCATTATGAGCACAAAAGTAAATGAGTAAAGTATGACAGTGGGGTCAGTACATATTGGACATACTTTAGCCTCTTTACGTTTCTCCCTCTCTTTCTTCTCCTGGTCCTCAGCAGTGTCATCACCAGCACTGGTCTCCATGCTCCGTTCCTCTGGACTGCCCTGTGGTTCTGCCTCAGGCTGGTTTTGCTCCTCTGCAGCCATGTTAGACTGCTTCTCATCTGGAATTATACACATCACTTCAGTGTCACGGAATAAATGAATCACTAAGTAACCTTTTCTGCATATTATTCTCTAAAACAGCTGATGAATCTTGTCTATGTTTTGGTTAATTAACGGCAAAAATAATAGTAAAATAGTTATTTCATAATTTATGCTCATCGTTAGCTTCGTAAACAGACAGAGCCTTATGTCCACACTTCTGCTTTTATTTTGTCCATATTCATGTGCGTCTTCTATAAGCTTAACGATACAGAAGAAAAGGAGCAGTACCACCAGAAATCTTTTTTTAAAAAGAGGCATTATCACAACTTTCTCCCCCGTCGCCATGTTTGTTGCTTTGTCGGAAACCCTCTGCTCTACATTGTCCTCTAGTGGATGTATTGTTCAACAACCACGGCAACGTAAAGGACACATGAAAACATGTGTGCACTGACACTATTCATAACATTACAGTATAATGTAATAGAAAATTTTATAGAAAATAAGGACAAAACCTCATCAACCGACAAGTATTCTTTTTTTACTTATTTTTTTAGTTTCATTGTTTGAAACGGACGTATCAGTTTATTGCAGCATTAATACCAGAAAACATTTGGTATTTTGGGCATTTCAGGACTCTGTTTATTGTGAAAACAAACCTATAAACACCTTCGAGAGATTATTTTTAAAAAACAGGCAGCTCCTACCAGCACATGGGTCTTTGGCTGCAGTGTCCAGAGTGCCTGCCAGCAGAGCATTGACATGGCAGATGGGAAAGTCATGCAGCGTATCGTGGAAATGTGCAGGGAAGCCAAAGCTCTCCACACCCGCTCGAACGGGCCCACCTCCTGGGTACATTTGGATCACTGAACCGTAGCCTAGATGAAGAGGAAATGGAGGGTAATTATGCAGAGGGCAAAGAAAGGGCTCTGTTTAGAAAGTTCGAAATACAATAGAAAGTATAAGCAGAAAAGGCCAAGTCAAACAGCAGGACTTAATTACCTCCCATTCTTTCCATGACGGAGCCCAGCACGAGCCCGGCACAAGTCTCAAACACCAAAACTTTGCTGCCAGCGTGGATGTTTGCTAGAGTCAACATCTGGGCGAGTGAGTCATACCGCAGGTGGCTGCGTTACACAGAAACATACACATTTTACTTCCACATCTTCCCACTCATTAAAAGGCCATTTTCGCACATTCTGTTCATCCACGTGCTGACTCACCAGATCTTCCCCGGCTCCCGGCCGTGGTACATCATAGCTAGGATGCGACAGGACGGTTTTAGAATCGTCACAGTATTTTCATACCTGGAAAAACACGAGACGGGAACAGCTGATAACACTAATTACAGCACTCTGCATTATTCTTAGTCTGTCACAGTTTGAGTTTGTGTAATTGGAAGTGACTCACTTCTTCTTTTTCTTCTTGATGTACTTATCCTGAGCATACTCGGTCTTATCTCTGAATGTGGAGCTGTTCTCTATGAGCTGCTGAATGATTTCCTGTGGAGCACACAAACACACCTTAACTTTATCAGATCGTGTCCAAAGACAAGACAGAAACCAACAATGTGCTTGATCACATCTTCATACTTTTCGATTTCCCTTGCCTGTGGCATTTCTGCAACAGATAAATCTTTAACAGTCCGTCACAAATATCTATCCTCACTTTTATAAAGTATTTACCTGAAACAACTTAATTGTAGGTTTAAGCACACATTTCTCAAAAAATG